AATAATGGATTAGTTAAATAAATTAATATCAAATAAATTTGAAATGAAAATGTAAAATAAATTCGTTGATTTCTTACCAACTAAATAAAGAATAGAATAATGGATTAGTTAAATAAATTAATATCAAATAAATTTGAAATGAAAATGTAAAATAAATTCGTTGATTTCTTACCAACTAAATAAAGAATAGAATAATGGATTAGTTAAATAAATTAATATCAAATAAATTTGAAATGAAAATGTAAAATAAATTCGTTGATTTCTTACAAGCTAAATAAAGGATCTAAGCATCATGCTAAGCTTATGACTATTTTATTAAATAATCAGTGTCTCTATGTGCTTGATTGGTTGTTATACTTATCAGATCTTAATCTAATTAAGAACTTGTGATTAATTATGAAAAAAAGGGTGGAGAAAAGGGTTAACTTGATGATTTATAAAAAAAATCCATATTACAAGAGATTTTTATTAGAATAATAAAGGAGTGAGAAAAAATCAATGTGGAGTTATATCAAAAATTAGTATGATCAATATTGAAATGTCTTGAGCTAGTTATAGATAATAAAGAGTGTGAAACAAAGTATTAGAAATTGAAGTATATACTATAGGCTAGTTATAGTTAATTTTTGAGATTTTTTAAATAAAAATTACATAAATTAAATCATATCATTTAATTGTTATTTTTTTCATCACCACTGTACTTCATTAAGTAAATGATTTGATATTTGTTTACATGATGGAAGCTTTAATGCTGGATATGTTTTTTTGATCCAATTCTTTAATGGTTCTATTTCTGAAAGTGATAGTTATAATTCACATCTGAAATAGCTTCCACAATGTTTTTTCATTTTCCTCTTGTTCAGAATGTGAAATTCTATCAACAAAATTATTGATATTGCCATTTCATGTATTTCATATATTTTGTAATTATTAATTATTAATTGCATTTGTAGGACTAGTAATTGTATTATATTTGAACTAGTAATAGTATTAATTGCATTGCATTGGTAAAATCAATATTTGATATCATATTTATATATTTAATTGTGTGTTTCCTGTAGGCAAATTGGCATTGAGTGAACTTGTATTAGCAATTTCTGGATTTTCAAAGCTCATACCAAAAAATGATCACTTAATTCAATTGACATACGCGCAGATGTGACTTACACCAAATTACTGAATTATTGCATTGATATTTGGGATTTTCACAGTATTTACATTCTGCATGCTGTTGTCAACATGACCCAATTTGATTAAAATGTTCCCATATAGAACTTAGAGAAGCCATTATGATAATATCTCGCAATATTTATTTAAAATATGTAAAACAATAAAGATGTAGATGTTATCGTTATACGTATGTTCTGTATGAATGCTCTGGTTTATCATTATTTATTCAGTATAAATGCCTTAATCGGTGATGATTTATGAACTTAACTATATGCATGGGCATTTACGATATCGGTTAGTAACTATGCGTATTATGCGCATATTGATCGTATAACAAGTAAAGGATAGTTTTCGGGTGAAGTTCCTTTCAAATGTTAAAAATAGATGAAGAACGGAATCAAAACTGCTTATAAAGAATTTTATTGTTCATTTTACATAAAACACGTGAATTAATAACAAATACATGAACGAAGAAAAGAAATCAGAAATCACGGATAATTAATAGGTGAACCATTAACTTAACTACCTGATGTATTTCATTTTATGTCATTCCAAGATAAATAATCGTTAAAATTTAAGATAATGAAATTTTTTCACAAGAAATTTGTAAAAACTTTCATTCTAACGAAATATCATTAAATGATCCACCACCACCACCACCACTATTACTAGCACCAACTTCTGTTTGTTCATCTCTAGCGCCAGCAACAACCAATAAATCTTTTTCTTCTTGCGCCGCTCCCAAGTTATCCTCAAAAGAAGTTGCTAGCTGTGGCTGCTTCACCACAATCTTTGGTATAAAAACTGGAGCGGGAGGTTGTACTACAGGGGTACGAGTCGTGTACGCGGCAGAATTACGTCGTTCATCTTCGGCTATTTGTTCGGGAGTTGGTTCATCGGTGATGTTAGGAAGTGGCGTTCGCATTCTTCGTGGTATTGTCTTCAGAAAATGAGAAGCGAGAACGGGATTTTGGAGAGCGAATAAGAGTGCGAATGAGCTCGAGATATTTGAAAGATCTTGTGCTACCTGTATGTAATACAGGTATCCTAATTTAGAAATTTATCATAACGATAAATGACAAATTGAGAAAATACTTGCTTGAGATTTTATGAAATTCCCGATTGTGGGTGTTTGTCGCGTAAATGATAAATTTGACATTGTCAAAAAAGAAAATGACACGACAAGTGACGCGGTCATTATTATAACCTATCAATAAATCAGAAATTGGTCAAATTATCCAAAAAAATAAAACATTCCGAATAATTAAATTACCTCTCTAGTCTCCTCTATATTCTTTAGTCCATGATTACTTTCATCATGGCGATTCTCCACATCCCGCCATTGTCTTTGATTCGACAACGATAAAAGCATAAACCCGGCGAACACCAGATACCCAACATTTACCATAATAATTACAAACAACTGCCAAATTAATGCTGGGATAATAATCTTGGAATCGAGTCCCGGCAAGAGATATTGTTCCTGTGTAACATCTATTGCAAATGTCGTAACGGTTAGTAGTGTTGAGAAGTAGAGTAGTTTGTGAGCTGCGGGCGAGATGTAATCGAACCAGACTGAGAGGCTTGTGTCGTGTCGTGTTTTCTCTTTGGAGACTTCTATCCTAGATTATATCTTTTAGATTAGTTGGATGCTTGTTTGAAACCAATTTGAAATGGATAAAATTTCTTACCATGAAAACAATAAAATTATATAACAAAAACATAAAATCAAGAAATTGAGACTTGTTATAACCGAATAACCAAAAACGGATAATTTCTCTTCACGAATATTGTACGGATCTAATTGCAAGATGATCAACGCCACTATATAGAAAAAAGAGAAATATTTAAATTTTGCATGTACTGAACATCTAATAGACTTGGACTGTTTCTTAACTCACTTATAGAGCAATACGCGATAGCGGGCAGTATATAAGTATTTGGATTTCTTAGTGAGATGCCAAAGCTATTACTTCTTTTACCAATACCAAAAACTCGAAGCATGAAATAACCACTCGTCAATACAATCAGTCCATAAGTGATTCCAATAATAGTAGACCAAGCAATCCAGAGTGGCCCACCCAAGAATTTTCTGTATGGTCCAACATCTATGATTTATCCCATAAATAAATATAATTCACTTTCGTCCACTAATTTTAAGCATTCAAGAAAAGATCATTTGCTTTACCTGAAGTAAACAAAAGAGTATTATTATTCGGTGCATCTGGATTAATTTTATTCCTCATTTTTATAAGTTTCAAAGCACGCATGTCGCTGGGTTTAATTAAACTCAAATACGGCACAGATTCTTGCAAAATCGCTTTTTCGCCCATGAAAGGTTCTTTTACACCCGGGTCACCATAATTTATTGATGTGAAAATAATTGCTTTTGGAATGTTATTTATCGTCGAGCCACTAACATACTCGCTGTTGTTATATACTAATGTATTTCGTTTTTGTATCCTTTTCTTGAGTATTGTGACATTAGTTGGATTTGCCTCTGGTATTTTCACGGTTACGTTATTACTTTCAAAGATACTGCTCGTCGTCCAATTGTTTCTACATTTTCGCCAATTGCAATGTTAATTTAATCTTCTGAATTATTCATAGTTGAACCAATAATTATAATTATAATAATATCCGCACCTTTTAATGATATCTGAATAACTCCTACATCCAGCAATCCAAGCAGCGTCAAACGGGACAAATAGCACAGCAGTTCCCTCAGGAAAAGGTTTAATCACACAATTACTGTAAACATAACTAACACTATTATTTTGTAATGTTCCGATGCCATCATTAGCTTTTAAATCATAGTCGTTAAAAAATTCAGCAACAGAAAAGTTTCCAGTAACCGAAAATAATCCACCACTTTGTCTGTGTAATGACTCATAGAAATCCGTATTCGATAGAACGATGACTGTGTCGTTCCAGTATAATTGTATCGATGCGTCGACTAACGATGTCGTCCATAATGGTATTGATAACAATAGCAATAATGTTGCTGTTGTTTTTATGATCATAAATAGATGCGAAACTCTAAAAGGTAATAATAAGATTAAACGTCGACGATAACGCATTTTTTTTTATAATAATTTGTATTTCATTAAAAAAAATTGGATGTTGTATACAGTATACGTAAAGCCTATTTATGAATTATAACGATAAAAATGAAGATATAATATTCATTATGATTAAAAAAATCAATTATGCTCATTAATAATTTTTAATGGAAATCAAACAAAACATGAAAAATCCAGTTTGTTGATAATAAAAATGAATAAGCTTTCGTTTTAAGTACATGTAGTATGAATCGGTATGCTTCTGCTAAATAGTTTATTTATTAATATCATATGTTGTACGTGTGGCATCAATGAACGGCAAACAGCGACATTTGCACTACAATCGATCATTTGGTGTCTTTCTCCTTTTTTTTCAGTGGTTTATTTTCTACCTTGCCAAAATCGGCAAATACGTGAGAGTTAGATAATAATAATTTAGTGTGATTTTAATGTGAATTTATTTAGTGCGATTGGATGCCATTGAGAATTTCGCGTGGTTCTTTTGATTTTCAGCAATTTGTGCGTGCATAAATCGATATTGTGCCTTATCGTTTTAGGAATATTTTTGATCATTCTAAATCTACATACAGTACATGCACATGAATGGAATGAAAAAAATGCGTTATGCCATGTTGAGCGCGAAAAAATGAATATTTCTACAACTTCCGAAATTACATGAAAATATGACATTGTAAAATTTGGCAAAAACTGAAAATTATAACAAGTCTTGGTTGATTTTTACAAATACATTTAGTGATAAAGGAAAATTATTTATACACAATATTAATATGTCTAATCTCTAAAAAACACGTGTCATGCATGTACTTGAATTGAAAAATTTCGTCATAAGTATGTCATTAGAAACTTAACTCATACGTTTTGCCCCCAAGGACTTCGTATCTAGAAAATTTCAATTTGATCTGGATCCATGATAATGCACAGATCAAACCGCATTTCTCTTTGACTAAAGAACCAGACATTTTCTCTAAAGAAATTTGAATACGAAAAATCAGTTTTTAACTTAATCAATATTAAACATTCACGCTTCCTGATTTTTTTTTAATTATCAGCATTTTCTGATTTTAAATTTTCGTATTCACACATAAATATTGAGAGCAAAGAATCTAATTATAAAGATTCGACATTAATATCTTTCCAATTGAAAATCACAATCCAATATCAATAATTTATTTATTTTTTCCAAGCCAATTTTTCGTAGCTGGAATTAATATGTTTTACGAAGGCCATCACTATTGAATGTTCATTTGTAACTGGGGTTTTCAGTTATTCCGTAATAATCAATATTGCCGCCGAGATCATAACATTTAAGAGCAGTCTGAATCTATAATTTTATCACATTTTCATTTTTATCTTGTTTATAACTCCGGCGTAATTTGTTTCGGATTGTGTTTCAACACAACTTTAATTTATTTTCTTTATGATCCCAATACACTTTTAATAATAAATTGACCAAACCTCTTTTTGCAATATTTAAAGCGAATCCATTAGAATAATTCATATTTAATAATTAACAATTATCGATATAAACGCATTTATAAAGATGGAACCGAATACTCGTGATTATAGTAAATGGTCTAAATGTCAAGAAAAGGCGCTGCGGTCACCAGTCTTGGAACGTATATTATGTTTCGTCCCTTAATTCTGGCTGAAACTTAGAGATTCGGTGACTTTAACCTAATATTCTAACCACGGCAAAAAAAATGGTTCTTTAAGGGGCAATCAAAGTGCAAGCTATGAATATTAATTCGACTATGGTTAGGGGCTAAGGTAAAGGTTCTTTCAGGCGCGAAAACTATGCAAAATCTCGCAAAGGAAATTTAGAGATACGAGCTATTTTTCAAAAATAAACGTTTGAATTTTTCCGCCACATTGATCTTTCAATTTGATTACCCCTCAAAAAAGTTACATACAAGGCACTTTTTTGCCGTGGCTAAGGTATTAACTTTAATCGCAACACACAAAAATCCAATTCTGACTGCACAATAGCTCGTCAGAAAATTCTAAGCTTTCAACCGAAGTAAAAAAAATGTCAACCCAACCAACACTCGCAGAAATTGCCAACTTACGGATTTTGAGAGTGACGAGATAGTCGGTGCTTAGAAATGTAATTTTTCGAAAAAGAAATCGGAGAAACTCTAGGACGACCTAAAATTCACAATTCACAAAGTAATACACACAGTTGCTATCCGACGCATTAGGCCACGAATATTAAATGTCCGAGGAGTAGTTAAAATTGTAAAGAAAACCGACAACAAACAATTGACTAAATTACTGAAAGTTTAATGCTGCTTTGCAATTTGAGTTAGTTCTAAAATCATTTTAGTTGCGAGGCAACAATAGCACACATGTATTTTATTACAATGCTCGTGATTATTCGGGTTTGTAAAGAGAATTTGATATATATTTGATTCTTATTTTTCCATTTGGTTATCTTATATATACGCAAAAGACAAGACACTGACTTACAAGTGGTTTTTGTTAAATTATAATGTCTTATATTTTAGACGAATTTGATTTACAGCTTATATTTTTATTAACAAAGACAATTAAAAAATAATAATTCGAATTGTAATTTCTTTTGTTATTGTATACTAATGGCACATTACAAAATTACGATTAATATACTAAATGAAATAATTTTTCTTGGTTGGGAGTCTAACGATAATAATATTGCATATATTATTTAAAAACCGTAAAATGTATAGTACAAATTCTTAATAATATTGTTGTTACGCTTCAAAGATGGATAGAGTTAATACGCTGAGGAGATTAGACTGAAATTTTTTTTTCAAAGTAGGAGGGATTGTGCCAGTAACTACGGTTACTGTTGATGCAAAGGGAGTGTTTTGATTATAAAGTTGGGTTTGAGATTATTTGAGAAAGGGAATTATGCCACATATAAAGGAAATTTGACATAAATTGAATAGGAAGATTATAAATATAATAATAATGTTCACTATAATGACGAGAGGAGTTTCTCAAAGTCACAAAATAAAATATCAATTGGGATTCTTATGAAATGATGGAATACAGTTAAGCTTTAATTCATAAGAAAAAACAAGTAACAAAACACTAACTTTCTTCTGGTAAAATCAATATACCAAAATTGATAATACAACAAGAGATAATTTTATTTCTATTACTTTGAATTTTATTATGATTTTTACTGTTCTTGACTAAAGATCAAAAGCATGCCTATATATATGCATTAATTTTGGAAGTCTATGTTTGAGAGCAATAAGCTAGAAGCTATAATGTTTAAAAAATTATATTTGCGAATTATCGAATGAACAAATCACTATCGTTATTATTACATGTACGTAATTTAAAAAAGACGTTAAAAGCGTTACGAGTCATGATATCCATCCGATAGGGTACGAACAATCAAAGTACAAGATATAAATTTAATATGTTGGGAAGATAATTTTACAAATAGTCTTGTCTCAACTTTACCCTTATCCTGACGCGGAAAATTTAGCGGAATTAGCCACGTGACCTGTAACGATTTATAAATACATGTACATGCGATGTGCATGTATTAATGGGATATCTATCATTGGTTTAATTACAAAAACATAGTGCAGGTAATATAATTAATGATGATCACCAATTTAAAGAACAAACAAATAGATTTCGTGTTATTTTTAAATTTTTTTAGTAATATTCTTTTAAAAGATGTCTTTATATAGTGACAATGTTAGAAATTTATTTTATTACATATTAAACTGCATTTTAATATATAAAAAATCATAATCATTTTAGTCAATCACATTTACGTGCAAGAGTAAAATTCTAATATTATCATGATGTAAAGATACTTTTTGCAAAGCATATTAATCTTTTAAAATTTAAAAATATTGGATATTGCAAGAGAAATTAGAGAAGATACAAAGTTTACTCTTTATACAGTAACATACAAAAGTATTCTACCAATCATAACTACACACACAGATAAGTAAATTTGGACAACTTTTTTTTTATTTAAAGTATATAATTAACTGAACTATTTAATATATTATATAATCACTGTTTGAATATATAAGTGCAGTTACATAGCATTTCATACTGTTGGCCAATTTTGTTGCTAATTTGGAAGAGAAATGATTCTATTCTTTTACAAGTTCTCCTTTCAACCTTTAACTATATTAATTTTTTTTTCTGTATATTGATTTCATTAGATATTATATGTTTTCAATAAGATTTTGGTCTGAAGATATTAATAATCAAGAGAGTATCTTAATGTTATTTTTCTCCTTCTATTTTTTCATAATTTTTGAATAATACTTGAAATTATTGTCTTCTTGCAAAAATCAGTTTATATTCATCTTATCTATTTTGCTAATAGATAATATAAATCCTGAGTATCTCTTTCAAGATTCTATTTAATCTCTCTGTTTGGTCATCAGTTTGTGAGTGAAAGACTGTTGACATCATAACTAATTTAGTTCCAAGTTGTTCAAAAAGAGATTTTCAAAAGCAACTTGTGAATTTTGCATCTGTATCTGATATTATAACTATAGACAAGCCATGTAGTTTGAAGATATTTTCAAAGAATATCTTTGCAATATCAGATACTGTTACTGTAATTATAGTTGGTACAAAGTGTACTCTTTTAGATAACTTATTTATAAATACTATTATTATATTATATTCAGACTTAATAGTTGAGAGTTAAACTATAAAATCCATAGTGATATGTTCTTATCTATATTCTGGAATGACTAAAAACTAAAGTAATTCTGAAAATTATTGATTACTAGATTTGTTACATTAATATGATTCACAACTGATAATATATTTATAAATACTTTTATTCATTTTTAATTAATAGTATTATTAAGAAACTGCTATATATATCTTGTTAATTCCAATATATTCTGCTATTAATATATCATAAAACTCAAAAAGAATCTTTACTTTCAAGATCTTGTTATCTGAAATGACTAGATGATTGGTATTTTTTAAGTAAAGTAATTTTTCTTTTAATTCAAAGTTTT